TGTAATCAATAATATTCTCAACGTTACTTATCTGTAATGTTTTGCAGGTACGACTATTCGGGCTATGGGCAATCAACTGGAAAGGTCTGTTGGATATTTGAACAGTTTGCGTATTAACTAGTTGTTTGAGCACAGTGCATCATGTAAGTCCCATATTTTCTGTGTTCCAGGCAAGTGAGCAGAATACATATGCAGATATTGAAGCTGCATACAAGTGTCTTGAAGAAAGCTATGGTACCAAGCAGGAAGATATCATTCTCTATGGCCAATCTGTTGGAAGTGGCCCCACGTTGGATCTTGCTGCTCGGCTGCCTCAGTTGAGAGCTGTTGTCCTGCATAGTCCCATACTATCTGGTTTAAGGGTCATGTATCCTGTAAAGCGTACATACTGGTTCGACATTTATAAGGTAAGACAACTCTCTTCAGTTTGTGTATCAAATCTTATGCTTGCTGGCCGAGTTTATGACCTTGGTCTAATTGTATGCTTTATTGTGTTAATGGCGCACAGAATATCGACAAAATTCCACTGGTCCATTGTCCTGTTCTCATCATTCACGTAAGTATGCTACGCTAGATTTTTCTACTTTATAATTGCATCTATGATTACAAGAACCAAACCAGACTCCTTTTGATGCACGATCTGCATACGCATTTGACCGGTTCTTGTCTTGTGTGACCTCTTTTATCGGGCAAAATGTGCATATCAAATAAACTTGTCAGCAGTTTTATTAATGCATTAGAGAACATAAACCCTGCAGTTCTTAACATTTTATTTCTGAGACTTAAATTTTCTTAGCTAAAGAATGGAATTTTAAGAAAGAGAGTATTGCTGCTGATGAATAAGGGTTTTGTTTGATCATCATCTGGCATGCCATGTCGAAAGATTATATATATGATGACTATATGAGATGCCAAATCGGCCTACTCTTCACATTTTTTAGCCGTTGCATCGTCTTGTAGGGGACTGCGGATGAAGTAGTCGATTGCTCTCATGGGAAACAACTCTGGGAACTGTGTAAAGAGAAGTATGAACCACTATGGCTTAAAGGAGGGAACCACTGTGATTTAGAGCTCTATCCTGAGTATATCAGGCATCTCAAGAAGTTCATATCAACCGTTGAGAAGTCTCCTTCCCAGAGATACAGTTCTAGGAGAAGCACGGACCAGTTCGAGCAGCCTCGGAAGAGTACTGATGTTTACGAAGTTTCAAGGAAGAGCACAGATCGAAGGGAGAAACCGAGGAAGAGCACTGATAGGCCTGAAAAACTGAAAAATCAGTTCATCAGTGCTGATAAACTAGAAAAATTAAGAGTATCTTTCGACCATATGGAAAGGTCTCGGAGAAGCGTGGACTGCCATGAGAAGTCCAGAAAAAGTATCGACCACCAAATGGACAGAGCGCGGAAGAGTGTGGATCGGTTGGATAGACTACGAACTGGGTAACTGTTGGAATAAAACCATACGCAAAATTCAAGGCCGGGGTTTGATGTTGTGGGAAAATTATTTGGGTCGTTTGTTTTTTTTTCTTTCTAATTTATGGTATTCTTGCTGTGTAATTTGGGTTTGTGGCAGTTTTATAACTTCTATTTCAAGAAATGAGAAAGGGTTTGGTGTTAAATAACGAAACCGCGATACTCGTTCTCAAATTATGACACCAGAAATGTTGAGAATGAGTCCCACATTGATGGGAAGAGGGACCTTGCATGGGCTTATAAGAGATTGAGCTACTTCACATATTGCCAGTTGGTTTTACGGTGGATCCTCAACTTTCTTCAAGAAATGGTTCGTTCTAACTCTTTATTCTATTACTTGTGTATTCTCTAAAGAAGTTTACAACTTGGTGTTGATTACACATTGTGCATCAAACATGGGTACAATTTGAAAGAACAAAAAAGATGTAACAGAAACCGAAGAGAAACGTTGGACATCATTTGCTGTCAAGGAAAATAGCTTCTGAGCAGGTTACGTACTTTGTCCCTGCAACCGTATATTGTTGCAAAGTGCTGGCTTCTGTGTGAACCAACATTCCAAAGTTTCGCCTCGTCTTCGCTATTGTGTGAAAGACATCGCTTAAGTAAACTACCGCCTATCCATGATAAGCGGGCAGTGGGAAGAGCCGGCTAGATTTTAGGCGTGCGCTCACTGTGTTCAACTATGGCTGATGGAGGAAGAGTGCCAATGCAGATCTCATGAACTGTTGCAAAAAGTGGGAAGAAATCTAGCCACCCGCGGTGGCTTAGAACCTCGTAAACCTCTTTTGCTGTTGAGACACCCTTCAGAAAAGGAACGAGAACATTTATGAATAGATAGTTTCGGGCTGCATCCTTACAGAACTCATTTTCCATTTTAATTGATCAGGCTGCATATTAATGCAATATAAAAATCCGAGTAATAGCAAAGTTCAGTTGCTATAAAGCCTATTGTTTTAAATGCATACCTGTAATTTTTGACCCTGCAGCATTTCTGCTTCAAGCTCATCGAACGATCTGCAGACAACAAACATAATGGCAATAGTAAGAAACTACCCCAGTTTTTTACAAGGTTGTATGCACCAAATTGCGGAGATTTACCTTTTCCCTCCACTCCTTGCAAAAGCTTCCGCAACTTTCCTGTTTCTTCCTCCCACTGCCAAACACACAGAGGTAAGAAAGAAAGAAAAAACAAAAAAAATGAAAATAAGAGATCGTCATGCTTCCATACGGCATGTCGTGATGAGATCAGCAACACCGCAGCTTTCAAAGAAGGTGGTGTCCTTGACAGATGAAAATAACATCTTGGAAAATGCCTTCATCTCTCTTAGACCGATTCTCATAATTGCAGCCTGGTCATTCAAAATAAGCAGTCAAAATGACATAGAAAAAGCAGATGAGATGTGGGTTCAACTTTTACCAAAATTTTTGAGCTTACCTTTGTGTTATTTCCCATCTCCAACCCATCCACAAAACCTGCTGCTATGGCCACAACATTTTTCAGGGTTCCACATAGTTCTACCCCTTCCACATCTTGGATCTATAAATTTCAAACACGGAAAGGTGTCAATGGAGCATTCCAATATAAATTTGATGTCAATCGCTAAATCAAATTATACACAGGGATAAGTATTTAGCGTAGCTAACGTACTACCAAATTTTTACTAAATGTGTGGGAAACTAAAGTAGTTCCTGTCCGTGCCAAACATTCATGATAGTAAAAGACTAAAAGTACTATTATGACATTCATTGTAACAATGTATTCGATGTACTCACAGGTGTGACTATGAAGTAGGAAGTACTAAAGAGCTCAACCCATTTCTGTGCAATCTCTTTGTTCTCTCTGTATCCAACCGTGGCTTCGCTAAATTTCTCCACAGCAATCTACACAAACAGATTCTAGTTTCAGCCACACCAGACGTGATATGATCTGGGAAACGAAAGTTGTGGAGTGACGAGTCAAGCTAAATTACCTCATTAGCTATGTTTGCTCCCATCAGAACACAACAATTAATACCCAACTGCTGTGAGATGAGTGTCGAGATCATGCACGGGCCTTCCATCTTGACCTCCATTCCTTTGATGAGGGAAATTGCCTCCACATCCGCTTTTACCTTCCCAACAAGCCTCCCGCATATACCCTCCATAAATTGATGTGGAGTAACAAATACCAACATGTTCGCACCGTTCACTGCAAAACTCCCCCAACTATAAAAAATTTGCTCCAAGCACCCAACAAATTGCACAAATTCAAAACATAGTAACTTTAAAAAGTTGACCAAATATTTTGCTGAGAAATTAAGTACCTGCATTCTCAAGGTCTGGGTCTGCAACAACATTTTTCCCCAGCTTAATGCCGGGCAGGTATTTCACATTTTCCTATCGAAAAACATGATACAAACGTTTACAACAGGATAAATTCATGCACATATAAGAAGAGTGCATTAAAGATCGTTGCTTTTTTACATTGTTGCGGTTGATGGCATCTGTGAGCTTCTCACCACTTGGTAATGTTTCCTCAAACACCCACATTCTCACTTCATCTGAATTCCAATGCAGAAAAAAAAAATACTCAAATTGCAAATGGGTTTTCATTAAAAACTTAAATTACAATTGGGTTTCCAGATTTTTCATTCATTAAACACCGAACAGAATAAAATCCCAGAATCAAACAAGAAAATTCAATTAATTTGGCATTATTTAGGAACAAAACGAACAATATGTTCACTTTCTCAGCAACCAAACATAAAATTAGAGAATAATATAAGGGACATAAACAAAAATTCTGACCGTTGGCTGGCACACATAAAGATTCTGTCTTTGCATGCAGAAAGAAAATGGAAATGCAGAAAACAAACAGGAAACAAATAATACCGTGGAAGGAAGAGAGCCCGAGGGTGTTGGAGGCAATGAGTTTGGCGGCAACACTACCCCAGTTGCCACTGCCGACGACGGTGACTCTGGTTTTGTGAGGAGCTTCAGGGCCAGTAGTGTAATCTTCCTCCTGTTGGAGTTCTGGAGCCATGGATGAAGAGGAGAGAGAGAGGAAAGGAGAGAGAAAGAGAGGAGGGCAAAAGGGCAACGCGTAGATGATAGAGGAAAAGGTATAGGAGGAGCGAGAGAGAAGGAGAGGAGACAGAGAATATAAGAGGGAAGACACCCGTCGGGGCGGATATGCCATACACGTTTCGTCACAAACGATGCCTAAATTGTATTGAACTCCAAGACAAATATGGCGATCTCCTCTATGATCTAATAAATTAAAATTACTACCATATACTACACCTTTTATGTTTTTCATCTCTCTCCTGTCCAATCAAAACATCTTACAAAAAAAAGAGTTTTAATAAAACACTTCCGGTACGGTTCATTTTTAACGAAAAATCACTTTTTTACCTTTAACTGTCATTATTCACTATACCTTTAAAAATGACTTTTCGTTAAAAGAGAAGTTTTTTTAGACTTTTCGTTAGTTTTCCTTACAAAATATATGTTGTCCTGCGTAGTCCCATACTATCTGGTTTAAGAGTCATGTATCCTGTAAAGCGTACATACTGGTAAGAATAAGGGTTTTGTTTGATCATCATCTGGCACGCTATGTCGAAAGATTATATATATGATGACTATATGAGATACCAACTCGGCCTACTCCTCACATTTTTTAGCCATTGCATCATCTTGTAGGGGACTGCGGATGAAGTACTAGTCGATTGCTCCCATGGCAAGCAACTCTGGGAACTGTGTAAAGAGAAGTATGAACCACTATGGCTTAAAGGAGGGAACCACTGTGATTTAGAGCTCTATCCTGAGTATATCAGGCGTCTCAAGAAGTTCATATCAACCGTTGAGAAGTCTCCTTCCCAGAGATACAGTTCTAGGAGAAGCACGGACCAGTTCGAGCAGCCTCGGAAGAGTACTGATGTTTACGAAGTTTCAAGGAAGAGCACAGATCGAAGGGAGAAACCGAGGAAGAGCACTGATAGGCCTGAAAAACTGAAAAATCAGTTCATCAGTGCTGATAAACTAGAAAAATTAAGAGTATCTTTCGACCATATGGAAAGGTCTCGGAGAAGCGTGGACTGCCATGAGAAGTCTAGAAAAAGTATCGACCACCAAATGGACAGAGCGCAGAAGAGTGTGGATCGGTTGGATAGACTACGAACTGAGTAACTGTTGGAATAAAACCATACGCAAAATTCAAAGCCGGGGTTTGGTGTTGTGGGAAGATTATTTGGGTCGTTTGTTTTTTTTTTTCCTTCTAATTTATGGTATTCTTGCTGTGTAATTTGGGTTTGTGGCAGTTGTATAACTTCTATTTCAAGAAATGAGAAAGGGTTTGGTGTTAAATAACGAAACCGCGATGGTCTACTTTCTGAACCAGTTCGAGAAACAAAATCAATTGCAATCGAGACTTCGATCTCTCGTTCTCAAACTGTGACACCGGAAGTGGTTCGTTCTAGCTCTTTATTCTATTACGTGTGTATTCTCTAAAGAAGTTTACAACTCGGTGATGATCACACAATAACTGTTCTAAAAATCCCCGCCTAGGCGCTAGGCGGCTAGTCACCGTCCCGATTAATGCCTAGACCGCCTAGGCATCTGCCTAGCCCGCCTAAACCGCCTAGGCATCTGCCTAGCCCGCCTAGACCGCCTAGGCACCCACCTAGACCACCCAAACCCGCCTAGATACCTGCCTAGGTTGCAACTCACTTAGATAAAAAATAGATAACTTTCCTTTTGCATTTTATTGTTTCCAATAAATTGTAAGAAACTTATTGAATACTTAAATAAACACACATTATATGTTTGCTCCCTATGTTTTCATTATGTTTCAATACTTCATAATATATATATGTCATTCTATTTTCTAGTTTATGACGAAATTATGTATATTTTAAGTATAAACAGACACTTATTTACACGAAATAAAATAGATTTACTTAAATCCGCCTAGTCCGCCTAGGCGCTAGGCCCCATCCCGCCGCCCGACTAGCGCCTAACGCCTTTTAGAACCTCACATCACACATTGTGCATCAAACATGGGTACAATTCGAAAGAACGAAAAAGATGTAACAGAAACTAAAGAGAAACGTTGGACTTCATTTGCTGTCAAGGAAAATAGCTTCTGAGCAGGTTACGTACTTTGCCCTGCAACCGTATTCCAAAGTTTCGCCTCGTCTTCGCTATTGTGTGAAAGACATCACTTAAGTAAACTACCCCCTACCCATGATAAGCGGGCCGTGGGAAGAGCCGGCTAGATTTTAGGCGTGCGCTCACTATGTTCAACTATGGCTGATGGAGGAAGAGTGCCAATGCAGATCTCATGAACTGTTGCAAAAAGTGGGAAGAAATCTAGCCACCCGCGGTGGCTTAAAACCTCGTAAACCTCTTTGCTGTTGAGACACCCTTCAGAAAAGGAAAGAGAACATTTATGAATAGATGGTTTCAGGCTGCATCTTTACGGAACTCATTTTCCATTTTAATTGGTCAGGCTGCATATTAACGCAATATAAAAATCCGAGTAATAGCAAAGTTCAGTTACTATAATTTTAAATGCAAACCTGTAATTTTTGACCCTGCAGCATTTCTGCTTCAAGCTCATCAAACGATCTGCAGACAACAAACATAAGGGCAATATTAAGAAACTACCCCAGTTTTTTACAAGGTTGTATGCACCAAATTGCGGAGATTTACCTTTTCCCTCCACTCCTTGCAAAAGCTTCCGCAACTTTCCTGTTTCTTCCTCCCACTGCCAAACACACTGAGGTTAGAAAGAAAGAAAAAACAAAAAAAAAAATTAAAATAAGAGATTGTCATGCTTCCATACTGCATGTTGTGATGAGATCAGCGACACCACAGCTTTCAAGGAAGGTGGTGTCCTTGACAGATGAAAATAACATCTTGGAAAATGCCTGCATCTCTTTTAGACCGATTCTCATAATTGCAGCCTGGTCATTCAAAATAAGCAGTCAAAATGACATAGAAAAAGCAGATGATATGTGGGTTCAACTTTTACCAAAATTTTTGAGCTTACCTTTGTGTTATTTCCCATCTCCAACCCATCCACAAAACCTGCTGCTATGGCCACAACATTTTTCAGGGTTCCACATAGTTCTACCCCTTCCACATCTTGGATCTATAAATTTCAAACACGGAAAGGTGTCAATGGAGCATTCCTTCAATATATATTTGATGTCAATCGCTAAATCAAATTATATCCAGGGATAATTAAGTATTTAGTGTATCTAACGTACTACCAAATTTTTACTAAATTGTGTGGGACATTAAAGTAGTTCCCGTCCGTGCCAAACATTCATGATAGTAAAAGTACACTAGTATGACATTCATTGTAACAATGTATTTGATGTACTCACAGGTGTGACCATGAAGTAGGAAGTATTAAAGAGCTGAACCCATTTCTGTGCAATCTCTTTGTTCTCTCTGTATCCAACTGTGGCTTCACTAAATTTCTCCACAGCAATCTACACAAACAGTCTCTAGTTTCAGCCACACCAGATGTGATATGATCTGGGAAACGAAAGTTGTAGAGTGACGGGTCAAGCTAAATTGCCTCATTAGCTATGTTTGCTCCCATCAGAACACAACAATTAATACCCAACTGCTGTGAGATGAGTGTCGAGATCATGCACGGGCCTTCTATCTTGACCTCCATTTCTTTGATGAGGGAAATTGCCTCCACATCCGCTTTTACCTTCCCAACAAGCCTCCTGCATATACCCTCCATAAATTGATGTGGAGTAACAAACACCAACATGTTCGCACCGTTCACTGCAAAACTCCCCCAATTATAAAAAATTTGCTCTAAGCACCCAACAAATTGCACAAATTCAAAACATAGTAACTTTAAAAAGTTCAGCAAAGATTTTGCTGAGAAATTAAGTACCTGCATTCTCAAGGTCTGGATCTGCAACAACATTTTTCCCCAGCTTAATGCCGGGCAGGTATTTCACATTTTCCTATCGAAAAACAGGATACAAACGTTCACAACAGGATAAATTCATGCACATATAAGAAGAATGCATTAAAGATCATTGCTTTTTTACATTGCTGCGGTTGATGGCATCTGTGAGCTTCTCACCACTTGGTAATGTTTCCTCAAACACCCACATTCTCACTTCATCTGAATTCCAGTGCAGAAAAAAAAACTCAAATTGCAAATGGATTTTCATTAAAAACTCAAATTACAATTGGGTTTTCAGAATTTTAATTCATTAAACACCCAACACAACAAAATCCCAGAATCAAACAAGAAAATTCAATTAATTTGAATTATTTAGGAACAAAACATACAATTGTCTCAGCAACCAAACATAAAATTAGAAAATAATATAATGGACATAAACAAAAATTCTGACCGTTGGCAATTGGCATACATAAAGATTCTGTCTTTGCATGCAGAAAGAAAATGGAAATGCAGAAAACAAACCGGAAAGAAATAATACCGTGGAAAGAAGAGAGCTTGAGGGTGTTGGAGGCAATGAGTTTGGCGGCAACACTACCCCAGTTGCCACTGCCGACGACGGTGACTCTGGTTTTATGAGCAGCTTCAGGGCCAGTAGTGTAATCTTCCTCCTGTTGGAGTTCTGGAGCCATGGATGAAGAGGAGAGAGAGAGGAAAGGAGAGAGAAAGAGAGGAGGGCAAAAGGGCAACGCGTGGATGATAGAGGAATAGGTATAGGAGGAGCGAGAGAGAAGGAGAGGAGACAGACGATGCCTAAATTGTATTGAACTCCCAGTCAAATATGGCGATCTCCTCTATGATCTAACAAATTAAAATATCTACCATATAATATATCTTTTATGTTTTTCATCTCTCTCCTGTCCAATCAAAACATCTTATAAAATTGTAAAATATATATTGGTTGTGCTGGGATGAATCCAAGATGTTGGTGCATGGTTCTTGATGTTTTGGTCATGTGATTCTTACCGATAAATTCTGTAATTTTCTCAATTTAATTTAAGAGTTGATTTTCACACATTTTATAGAGTTTTATTACAAAAAATTTCTGAATTTAACTCACCGTATCAATATGGTTATAAATTCAAAATCAAACGATGTAGTTCTTCAAAATGAGTGTCGCAAATCCTGTAATCATTATGTCATAATTTTTTGTCAAAAATTATGTTTTGTACAGAAATCTCAAAAGTTTAATTAAATATTTTCATGTAAATTAAAAATATTTAAATAAAAGATTTTTTTTTTAATTTTTAATAAAGCTCCCCATAGGTTCCCAAGAACTTGGATATAAGACTCATGTCTAGTTCTCATTGGAAAGGAATCCGCGAAATATCTGAAAATTCCAATCCTATTTCTTAATTCTACATTATCCAATTGAAATAAAATTTGGTTTGTTTATATTTAAATAAAGGGTAAATTACACTTTCATACCTCAGGTTTTGGGTCTATTTCAATTCTTTACAACATCTTCAAAACCATTTCACTTTCATACCTTAAGTACTATTTTATTTCAAAATAATACCTCAGTTACAATTTTCATCCATTGATCCGTTAAGTGTTGATGTGGCTGCCACAAATATGTCACGTGTCTACCAAATGTTTGCCACGTGGCAAACAAATAAATTTTTTTTTTCAAACCTGATTTTTTTTTTTTTGAGAAAATTCAAGTTTTAACAAAGGTCCGAGTTAATCAGAGATGCCGAAGCTGGATCCAACGCTGTCAGTGGCGGAAGATGATTGAGTTGCTGAGTCTGTTGTTGTTGACATCGATCGTGTGAAATCCCATTCCCGGAATTTCAATATTCTTTACGTATCTTGTAGTTTAGATTCGTATTTCGCAATTACGTTATCTTTATTAGTTAATTTTAATTCCGTTTATTTTAGGAATATTAATGGATTGGTTATCGAGTTTGAAGTTTCATAATCAATCTTTAGCATTCGTCGACCCTTCGAAGTTACAACTAGTGTTTTCAAATAGATCTCGAAACCACGAACGCATAGGTGAAAGCCGTTTGCGAGTCCAGATTATAACGGTATAATTACGGACATTTGAAGTTGTGATACTATAGATTTTATGAATTATTTATCTCCCACTTTGTGGGTAAGAGGCCAGACCGATATTTGGGTTAAGGGACCAATTAGTTAGAAGAAGGAACGGACCAATCAGATTTTAGAAAAGTTTAGGCAGCAGCCAATCAAAAAAGGAAAGAAAAGAAAAGAGAGATGTTTCCCCTTCCATTTATGTTGACCGTACACCCACGACAACACCTTCGACCCGGTTCTAATTCCGACCATTTCCACCATATTTTCAGGTGATCTTCAACCATCCCACACCTGCCACCTCTTCCATTACGTCCCATCTACCATCTCCACCCAATTTTGAAGGAATTTTAAGTCAAAAAACCGTATAAACTATGTGGGTGCCCGGAGGTTTTTCACGGCGATTCCGCCGTTCCAACGAGTTTCACCACTCACCACCACCCTTAATCAACTTCCCTTGGACCCAGGATCAAGACCCAATCAATTGTAGGGGTGTAGGAACACCAAGGAAGTCGAATCGAAGAATTTGGAGCCTTTCTGGCCAAATTGTACTTGGCCACATGAGGTGAGAGAGTGTGACGCCTTGATTCTCGTGTTAGGGTGCATTAGCGCGGACTCCAGGTGATTGACTTTAATATATGTGATATTGTTATTACCCTGAAAACTCCCATGCTAGTATACTTTGTGTATACAACATGAATTTCTAAAGTTATGTTTTATGCTAAATAATTGTTTTTATAAAGTTTACCATCGATCTATTTTATGAAATGTTATGTGAATTGCTTATTGAAATGTTTATGAAATCTGTTTGAAAATATTATTTTTTTTGAAATGTTTGTTAAATTGAGGGTTAATAGGGGACTATGACCCTGCTTGGTTAATCCGAGATAGGGGGTCACTAATGGTCCTGCTTGGTTAATCCGCGATAGGGGACCATATTTCGTTCTTGGTTAATCCGAGATATGTGATCCTTGTATCTTTAGTATGGCCATACACACACTTAGGGCTGATCATGCTTGGTTATGTGATCCTTGTATCTTTAGTATGGCCATACACACACTTAGGGGTGATCATGCTTGGTTAATCCGCCATAGGTGATCACTGCCTAACAGATGCGTAAGAGTCACTCTACTTGGTTAATCCGCGATAAGGGGTCACTACCTACTTGGTTACTGCAAGGATGGTTCTGCTTGGTTAATCCGCCATAAGGGGCCACTTCCTGTTTGGTTACTTATGTAGGCTTCGACCGAACTGTGTCACTCTAACCCTAGTTTTTAGTGTTTTTGTAAACTATCGTTTCGAGAACCTTGAGTTTTGACTTAGAAAAACTGTTGGATGTCTGGGTGACTCATTCGGAGATATCAAAGGTTTGGTATTGATTTCTTATGAATGTTTTATATTCGAGGTTTATAAACTGTGATTGATGGTTGATTTTATTATTGTTATCACATGCATTGTATTATTGTCATTCACACGACCTTCGCAGCTTATCCGGGTTGTTGTTTGCCCAGTGCACCATTCCGATGGTGTAGGCACTGATCTTATAGGTGACAGGTCTGAGTAGCTTCTGAGAGGTACGTGGATGGGGTAGCAGTATAGTTATCAGAGACTTGGAGCGTTAGGTTACCCCTATATCCTTTCTTGTACTTTATCTTTTGGGACTTTCTTTTGAGTACCTCGAACTTGTTCTTAGTCTAGCGAGGGTTGTACTTCTTTTTGGGATGTACATATTGGTAAATATCTTGTGGAGAACTTAGCCACCTTCATATTATTTTGGTTCATCAATTAAAGTATTTCCTGCCGTAACTTATGTCGTATTCAACGAACGTTATTTCCCTTGTGACGTGTCGACTCTTAATGTATATCGAGATCCAGGTGTGATAGATCACGCTTCCTGATCTCAACTACCTCTTCGTCCACATCATCGTGCTTCGACGTCGACGACTGAAACGTGATGGAGCAGGAAGCAGCGGACGAGATGGGAAATTGCTTAGCGACTGATTGCAGAGGAGTGTCGGTTGGGGTTGAGAACTCGTCGAGGAACTGCTGATGAAGATGGAGAGGATTCGCCAAGGAGCAGATGCGTGAAATCGAAGAAGAGAAGCAAGCGTATTTTTGGTTAGCACCCCCTACTAATAATACCGAGCTTTTGGGTTGTATTAATTGTCCGATGTCAATCATATTAAATTTGATGGATTGTATAATTAAGTGGGTGCTTATTTAGTACGATAGTGTATCAAACAACTACTACCGTATTATTAATCCTATTTGGCACTTAATACGATGTGCCAAACGAGGCCTAAGACATTCATAAGAAAATAGACGAATACGGTACAAAGAAACCCAAAATCCTTAAACAAATTGTCGTATCGTTTTAGGTTTGGTATATTTGGTAGACATGATCTTTGAGAGAAAAACCTAAAAGATAAACTGTACGGATCGTTAAAACACATTAAGAAGTTGGCCCTGCAAAAATTTGTGTGAAAAGTTGTGTAAAAAAATGATGTCATATATCCGTGTTATATATATGTGAGGTGTGATATCCTCATATCTACACATCTTTTTTAATTTCTCACACATTTTTTTAATTTTCAATCTTTGAATTAGATGAATTGAAAAAGATTAAAAGATAAAAAGGGAAGGCGCGGAAATCTGAAAAGTAATGTTAGATTGATGTTCCCAACATGCATTATTATCCATATATCATGTATGTTTATTTTGTTCTTTATGCAGCTTCCTCTGCTCAACACCCAACATTTAAATTTCAGAAAGGAAAGGGGATGTCAATGTGTACCCAGTTCCATCGATCCATGTATGCCCACCACGTGATCGATGATCTTGGATCGATATCGGTCTAGCTAATGAACATAATAACAAAATTATAGAAATTAACTATAATATATTGTTATTTAAAACACAATATTGATCACATTTATGAGCATTCACAGTTATATTTAGGACAACAACGTTGTATATATAACGAAAATTTTCATTATGCTCGAAATACGGGTGGTATATTAGGTGTCATTATATAAGTTGAGAGAAGTTTTAATTTTCAAGTTTTAAATTTTTTTTACACAAGTATCTCACCACTTATATAATAACACGTGGTGTATCATCTTTTGTTCCTAACATACTAAAAATCTCTCCTATATATGCACAAAACCATGCATGCAACTTCGGTTCTTTCATCAATTAAAGGAATAAACACCAAGATCATGGATTTCTTCTCAGTTGGAAATTAAAATTATGAGATTTAATTTATGTCATAGGTCTATATTTTATTTCGCATTTTCTCGCAGAATTAGCATAGTTTGAAACTTGTAATTAATGTCCATGTTGTTGGTTCTAACTTCTTGGTTGGCACATAATCTATCTAAACAACCAAACCCTAATCCAAATGCCAAAGGTTAGAAATAAGAAGAACAAAGATCCTCGTTTTTCCTTCCATTAATAGTTATTTCTATTAATGTAGCAATAATTTTAGAACCATGCATGATCCACTAAACCCGGCCAGCCAAGAGAACCCATAATATCTCTTCTATCTCCTTCCCTCTAACACCAAATTAAACTATAAATATCCTCTCTCTCTCTCTCTGTCTTCGATTAATTTACTCCACAGATAATCCCTACTCTCTCTCCCACTAATCTCATATATATTAAGCTTAATCACCACCCACTTCCACCTCCATAATTTGGTACGTTGGTTTCGCAGTCGTATATATCCATCTCTCGAGAAGTATTGCAAATTAAAGAACGAAACAAAAGGTGACACAAAAGTATTACCAAACAAGAAGAAGCAACGATGGGACGTCAAGTCATTGTTCTTGCCCTAGTATTTGTAGCCATTACTGGTGTTTTAGCACAAGAGCCAATCACGTCACCACCCGCCCCCTCCCCGGCCTCCTCCCCTGACGCCACCACCTCACCATCACCTTCCAGCTCATCAGCTCCTTCTCCCAGTGGTGAAGACGCCAGCACTCCGGCCTCAGCCCCAAGCCCCGCTAACGATGTATCATCCGCTCCTTCTCCCGACAGTGGCGACGCAGCTGCTCCGGGGACCAAGGCCACCGATGAGACGCTTGAGATCGCGGCTGCCCCAGAAGGCGGGGCCGCAGCTGAGGGAACCTCGGACGCTGAGGAGGATTATCCCACTGATGATCTCTCAAGGCTCATAAAAACTGAGGAGCTTCTAATTATCAAATTAATTGAATTGATTGAGCTTTTATCTTTCATTATAGAGTCTCTCCATACGTAGACTTAATTATGAATAAGTACGAGAAAGATCATCAACCTGTATTTTACATTTTTTTTTCCGTCCTCTCTTGACATGGATTTTTTTATTATTTTTTTGTATCCTTTGTACTAGCTATTTAATTTGATCAGTATATACTAATTTCAAGTTAATCTTTATATTTAGAATACTAAAACTATTGTGTAACTTGAATTTTCACTTGGAAAAACGAATTGCATGGTAAGCTATTTGTTAGCAATAAGAATTAAAGAAGCATACAGCAATTTTATGTGAACATAACTGTTTTGGAATCTGCATGCATGTAAGCCTACGCCTGAGTCCTGACCCTATTTTCCTATCAAGTTTATATGAATTGTTGGAAGTTAATTGGAACATATGTATGATTGTATCAATGTTTATGTTATCAGAACTTGTTTTAGCACGATGCTGGCACACTGCGTGTATGCATGGAGCAACTAATCAATTTATTAATTTCTACGTGGTTAAGTTATTTTCAACGATTAAGATATTGTCATGCCATCTACCACATTTATTATCATTCTTTTAGAGTAAGACTTTTATCACAAATGATCTTTGAAACTGATTTAACTCATCATTTGATCCCTTAATTTCAAAATCGCACTTGAAATTGACTACCCGCACATCAATTTGGTCATTCTTTGTTAGTTCTTCTTTTAGTGTGCTGACATGATACACATATGAGGTCTACAACTCTAATAAAATGGTGCCACGTGCAGTGGCGGAGCCAGAATTCTGAATGAGGAGGGGCCTTTCACAAATATATATATATGACTGTGTGTAAAAAGTTGAATTCATAACATGTTGACATATGCAATTTGTGTAATCCTCACAAAACTGAAAAAATTATCTTAAATTCAATACTAAGAAGAAAAAAATGTAAAAATCCAAACAACCAAGTAAGAGGTAGGTTGTGGAAGGCTAAAGAAAATACAAAGAAGTAGAAAAAGAAGAAAAAGGCGGAGATGTCTGCAAATAAAGAAGGTGGGTTGCTTTAGAAAATTATAGGGTGTATATTACTGTTAGGTGAGAGAATCGAACCAAAAGTGGGGTTGCTTTTTCTATTTAAAATTGCACATCTCTTTTAAAACTCCCCTGCCAAACTTATCGTTTCATTAGACAGCAAAAAAGATTTAAAATCAAAACAGCTTAACGACGTCGTTTGCTGCATCTTCTTCCATGAGATTCACACCTCAGATGAAGTCAGGATGGACCGGGGACTACCCTAGTCTCTTGGTGGCTCCGCCCCTGGCCACGTGGAGTATACAAACTAATTCCTTCTTTTAAATGATTTAAAGTTGTAAGTTTATAAAATAAAAAAAGAAAATAAAAATAAAATATAAGGGAAATTTTCAGAGTGCTCGTACGTGATTGCTATGACTTTGCTCCTGTAGGCGTTGGCTCTGCCATCGCCAGCGAAAGATAGGCGTTGCTATGTTCTGGTGAAGGATCGACGCCACTATCCTGGACAGTTTCGAGGTGATTAGCTGACGGCTTGCGATCACCTGTTGTCATCAACTCTAAGAAATCAGAAGATGGCCGGCCGGCTTCTAGATTATTTGACAATAAGGGGTAATTAAGTTAATGTTCAATTCCATTGCAGTGCAGCCTTGCACAGCTCGAATCATTTCTTTGGTTCTGGGGTAAGGTTGGCGTGAGGAGGTGAAGACCTCCGTTCAACATTTTGATTTTAGCTTTTTCTCTTCTTTTTTTTTTTTTTTTTTTTAAGTTTTAAATTATTTTTCCACATGGTACTATTTAAGTGGACTTTGGGCTCAAATTGTGTGCCACGTTAGCATACTAACACAATAACTAATGGAGTTTTTACAGAAAGACTATCATAATATTGCAAACAAATGAAAAACAATAAAGAATATAATTAAGAAAGATTTTCTTCAAAATGTTCTACTATAAAATCAATTGGCAATATGAGAAATAGCTCAACCTCGTATAAGCCCATGCAAGGTCCCCCTCCCATTAATGTGAGACTCATTCTCAACACGTCCCTTCACGTGTGGCAACTTTTCAAGCCTAATACGTGGGCAACACAACGGGGTGACGTGGAGCGCATGTGGCTGTTTGGCTTCACATGTGGGCAACCTGCTCTGATACCATGAAGAAAGTTGAAGTTCCACCATAAAATCAATTGGTAATATGGAGTAGCCAACCTCTTATAAGTCCATGCAAGGTCCCTCATCCCATCAATATGAGACTCATGCTCAACACAGTTTATTTCAACCAATTATCATGATTCATATTCATTAAAACCCCTATTTTTCACTTGACAATGAGACGATCAAAGAAAAACAGAAATTGAATGAATTTGTATTTGGTTCAAATCAAACTTCGTCATATATGAAGGAGTGGGATTCTCTCATCTTCAAAGATTCAAACTTTGTATCACATCTTACAAATCCAATCTTATGTCATTTGCCTCACTAGAACTTGCTTTGAGATCTCTCACGATATTGTATCACATCTTACATTCTCTTAGTGATGAAAGTAAGCATTAGAAATTTACCATCATTGTCATAGAAGCTAGTGCCCTACATTTTTTTTTTCCCTTGTTCGCCCCATTGAGCCTTTACATAAGCCTTTTTTTTTTCTCTCCAACCTACATTTTTTGTACCTAGCCTTAGTTACAAATTTATCCTACCCTACTAAGAAGCTAGTAGAGACATTTTTTTAAGGAGAGTTCTAGGTTGTTTAAGTATTGAAGACGCCAATTTTGAAGAAAGCCAAATTACAAACAAAGAGCCAAAGAATAAAAGAGGAAACGAGATCATTGTGAGTGACTCACAAAGTGAGCTGTCAGAATCATAAGAAATTATAAGAAATTAAGTGTGTAGTTTGTACATGAAGAGCAAGAATCATAAATATAAAAAAAATTCAATGTGCAGTTTTATGTCTGTTCTTGTTTCAAATCCAACCACTCCATATACTGCAAAGTTGCCTTGTTCATTGGTGCATTTCTCTGTCAATTTCATTTTCCGCAACTCCTTTAGTTTCTTAAACTTTGTGTTTCCCATATCTTCATTTCTTTAACCAAGTCTCTAAGCCACGTTGCAATCCTTTTGCAAGAACCTACTTAATCTCTTGAGGGTAATTTGTTGATGTGTGTGGAGACGAGATCAATCTGCAGCATATGACAATTTAACATTCATGAAAAATTCTTTTGAATGTAAACACTTAATCCCACACACCTTGACTGACATTTGAGTGTATATTCCTGGTGAGATTAGGGGTTACATTTAAGTTGCCTTGTTTCACTACATTGCATTTACATAGTCTCAAATTTTGGCTCTCTTTCACACATATTATTGTTTCACTACATTGCATTTACATAGTCTCAAATTTTGGCTCTCTTTCACACATATTATGGTTTTTTGTGTATCGCGTGTTTTGTTTATTTTACTTGCTGTCCACCAATTCTTGTGTTTTTAATTTTACTTGCTGTCAAGCATGTCTCTTTCCTTTTTTTTTTTCCTTAATTGTTTTTTTCCTTGTTTTTTTCTTTCTCAACTAATGCGTTTGTGCAGCATCATCAGTATCTATCAATTCATCTTCTTATCCTTATCTCGACTCATCATTCTCAATTGCCGATAATGATGGTTCTTTTGCTGATATTTGGTTGACTGCAGAGCCTTAGCATTTGTCTTTCTTTTATAGTCATTTGTTGGTTGTTATCTGTTGGTTTTTTAGTTGTATTGGATTCTGACTTCTGTTTTGTTTTGTTTTGTTATATATATATATATTGCTCTTTTCTTGAAAGTTGCACAAACCATTTTTTTTTCTGAGTGTCATGGTATCCTCAGTCCGAGCGTCTTCGTGCTTTGAAGTTTGAAGACCAAACTCCTGTTATTCACTTTTCCTCTTCTTGTCCCACTGCCCGTCCTATGAACCGTGCTCATCCATCTTTTGATGTTCTTCATTTTCAAAGAGAGGTTTTCAAACAACTTCTCGACATGAGCAAGAGATTCATTCTTTTAGAGGAATTCATTAAGACTTTTTTCATTGACCTCAGTCATAGGTTTTCTAAATTGGAGCAGTGTATTCAGCGCATACCCAACAATATGCTCGCTTCAGTTATCAATCTTTCATCTTTTGATTAAGATTCTGGATTTAGTTTAGGTTTTGTTATGGCTCGTGATGACTGTGTGAGTTATGATATTCCTGATGGGCCCATCAGAAAGATCATAATCTACATAGTCATCATGAGATATAACAAAACCTAAATTAAGTCAAGAATCTTCATCAAAAGATGAAAGAAAGATTGATAGCTGGAGAGAGCATATTGTTGGGTATGTGCTGAATACACTATTCCAATATAGAAACCCGACAACTGAAATCAATGGAAGAAGTGTTAATGAATTTCTCTAAAAGAGAGAATCTCTTGTTCAGTTCGAGTTGTTTATAGTGGCAGTCGCCACTTTAGATGGTCAGCACGAATCTGTTCCATAATGATGGTATGTAAATACTTTCTCAGACCTAGTCAACATTGTTCTTTTGTCATACATTGTGTGTGTTCTTGTCACGTACATTCTCATACTCTCTATTTTATGGCAGCTAACCACAAAGATGGTACATGTTTTAAATTTTTGTTACACATGCCAATGCGTGATTGGTTTGAAATATTGCCACAACGATAATCCCTATTGTAAGTTAATTAGTTTATCTCTCCCCAACACCTATATCAACTAAATGACCAACTAATAGTCTTTAGTTTAGTAGCAGTTGTATTGTTGAAACGAAATTTAACTTACATGAATGCAATGATATATAAATTGTTGATATTTGGAACCCTTATGCTTAGTTGTCTTCGACCCAATAACTAGATAAATTGTTGTTATGCATAGATTGTTATTTCATGATTCCTTAGCCTTATACTTGAAAATTTTGACACTTGACATCTCACATAACCTCTTGATTAATTATAATCAATATCTATTTACTGATATGGAAAGTAAATGAAAGCACAAAAGGAGAAACGAAGAATATATCATAAAGGCCAAAACCAAATCTTACCACAAAGGGAATTAAGTTCCTTGTCATCTTTCTTTCTAAATTTCTAATAATAGTTTGTTCTTACAAAATCATGAGTAGAAATACACGCAAAGTCTGAATGTTTGATGGAAATTCAAGATCCTTGTAATTATCGAACCACAAAAACGTTATTGTTAACACAATTTTCATAGCACAATTGTACTACTTCTCTATTAGAAATGAGATTCACATATATTGGTGGACCCTAGCTCTATTAGAGATGTGGTACAAATGTAACCTTAACCATGATTCGTTAAGCCCGCTCAGCCAAGAAACCACATTACTTTTAAAACACAAGCTAATTAATTAATTAATAGAAGCCATCAGGTCATAACAGAATAAACTAACTCTGGTGTCTTATCCTCCACAGATTTCCTACGCTGTCTCCCTTCCACGCTAAGTCCTATAAATCTCATTCCCTTCCAACCATGTTATGATCCACATACGTCCTTTGGTTGCGCAGTGTTTCTCTATATTTTACAACTATAAATATATATTTAGTGACAAACAACTGCAATAACCATTCATTAATCATCCCAACACAAGAGAAAAATCTACCTTACGCGGCAAGTAAACGAATTAACGCAACAGGTTATAAGCCACATCAAACCCTAATTTTGCTACAAAAACAAAAGGAAGAAGAAGAGCGAGAAGAAAAATGGCACGTCGCGAATTGATTCTCATTGCTCTGATCTTGGTTGCCATTGTCGGAGTTGCGATGGCAGCAGATTCGAGTAGTAGTCCTTCGCCATCGGAATCGCCCAAGAAAGACGACAAAAAAGACTCTGACAGTTCATCTTCATCATCAGATAAGGACAAATCGTCATCAGATAAGGACAATTCATCATCAGATAAGGACAATTCATCTGATGCCCCGTCATCATCATCGGACAAGGACAAGTCATCATCGGACAAGGACAAATCATCATCGGACAAGGACAAGGATAAGTCCTCATCCGCCCCAAGCCCATCAGCACCATCCCCCAAGTCATCCGACGGTGGTAAGTCATCAGACAAGGACAAGTCATCATCTGCTCCGGCTCCAAGCAAGGGCAGTGATAAAGACAGCTCATCTAAGTCACCTAAATCCTCCGCAAGCTCGCCCGACTCCAGCAAGGACAGCGGCAAAGACAAAGGTAAAGACAGTTCATCTCCGTCGCCTAAGTCTTCTTCCTCCAGCTCTCCCAAGTCCTCACCGTCTTCAAGCGCCAAGGACGACAGTAGCAGCAGTCCGGCTTCTTCCCCCAAGTCATCAAAAAACAAGGACAAGGACGACAGTAGCTCTGCTCCATCTTCCGACTCCTCTTCCAGCGCCTCCGCCCCTTCCCCCGATGACTCAGCCTCAGCATCCCCTCCTGCCCCTACTCGTGACACTACTACAGAGGCTCCCTCTGACGTTGTGACTGCGGACACACCCTCTCTCGCTGAGGCTCCCTCTAAAACCGCCGCCCTCCCCACCTTCTTCTCCACTGCCTCCACCGCCGGTGCTCTCGTGCTCGCAGCCGCCTCCTTCTTTGCCTTTTAATCAAGCAAGGTTGAATTAGCTAGTAGTCACCCCATGAGTACTTGCATGCGCATTCATATTATGCCCTAATTAATTCAATGTTGGATCCTACGTGGTCGTATAACTGTTCGTAACGTCGAATGATCCATATTTGTCCTGTTTCATTCGTTCACTTTCCCTTTTTCCAGATAATTAATGAAAGGGCATTTGCATTAAGTATTAGGGCCTCCCTCTATTAATCTTGTTTGCATGGGTTAATTATTGCACGATGAAAAAAGATTTCGAAACCTAGCTGATTTAATAATTTACATTAGAGAATTCATGCATATGCATGCATGGTATAAGGTCTCTAAAGAACAAACGTATATGCTTTTTTATGTGTTGGTGTTCAGGATGATTAAATGTGGATATATATCATAAAGAGATTTTTTAGTGTGACCAGCACACGGGATGGTACACCATGTGTCACTATACAAATGGTGGATATATGTGTTAGAAAGTTAATAACTTCAAAAATAAAATTTTTCACCACTTACATAAAAACACATGATGTATTATATGTGTTCCCGTGACAATGAAAAATTTCTCCATATCATGATCACCAGCTGCAACGCTTGTAGCTCAAGTAATAATTAAAAATATTTATTCATCCACTTAAGGTTATAGGTTATATGATGCTGTTAGTTCTTATGGCTGCCCAACATAACAAATCCATTAATGATCAAGAAGTAACTAATAGAAAGGAAATTAATAGAAATTTAACCTAATCCATGTGCTACTTGGCCAGTGGACTCTTACGTACTTAAATTCGAACTTAAATACAGAGATGAAAACACATTCGCTCTAACTTGTTTACCTCTTTAGAAATATGATTGTTTTGGTTTACATATTTGGGTTGGACCCGTAAGAAATAAAAGTCTAGTTTCGTTAGAAGTGACCCAAAAGAAGAATCCACTTGGTGCCTCGTCTACATTACATCACAAGCCCAAACAAAAATAGCAAAATAAAAAGCAAAAACAAAAGGAAAATACCAAAATGGGAATCCCAATCCCACCGACACTCTGATGATGTGACATACCCGGACCCAAAATAGTAATTTCAAGAATAGGAATTATATGAGCGTTTTGGGTTGTGATGGTGATGCGATATTTGAGAAATTATTTTGTGTGCCGGATATACCAAATGGAATTGTACAAGTGGTTGAAGTTTTTTTTTACTTTCGAACCGATTGTGTTGTTTTATTTGATGGACTAGATCTTATTACCGGCATACTAAAAACTCTATGATAAAATTAAAATTTTTATTTATTATAATATACTAGACAATGTTGTCCACATTAAAAAAAAAAATCCTTCGTGATATTTCTTGTTGTGAAAATTGGGAGCAATCTATACACGTGTGTTAGTGCAAAGACTTTTTTCAGTGAGAGGCCCCACCCACAAAAACAATGCAAAAGCTTTTCCAGAGACCAGAGGCCAGAGGGGCCTGCCAAAGCCCAGATTTTAGCACTATCTTGTGCGAACTTATGGCTGTGGGTCGTTTTTCTTGGCATTCCCTCCACTGTGCCAAACAAGTAAGAGGAAAACATGTGGAAATTCCTACCTCTGCTTGCAACGTTTCTCTACCTTGACTAAAGATTTGAAAATTGTTGGAATCAATTTTTTGCATAACCGTGTATGGAGGAGTTATGTGAGAATGGCTGCCTACGAGCAAGAACAAACAACCGTGAGCAACCTAGGGTATTGGTGTGATACCAGTCAACGACTTTCTTACGATCAAGTGAGGATAAATCTTATAATTGAAGCAGTGTGCAAGAGATCAAAGTGTAAGAAAGCATTATATGCCCTAGGGCTTAGGTGGTTGTGTTTATACTAGTTGGGAGAGAGTTTTTCAAAGAAATAGAATCTGTATTAAACTGGAATAATTCTAGAAGATAACTAGTATAAGATATTGCTTCCTTTTGGAATTTTGATTACTTGTGGAGCAAGCATGGTGGATCTCAGTGAGGTTTGCGAGCCTCGCCTACCATTGTGGAGTCTAACAAGATGTGGTAGCATTCATGGTCTATTTAGGCGACTTAATCTGATTGGAGTCATTGAATCTATGACCGGACTTCTAAGGTACTTGTATCCCAATCCTCCTTACCCTGATCTAGGAAAATTCATTGTCCCACAAAAATATGTGAAATAAGGTCATTTAATTATGCAAAATTGGCCATATTATTGATTGTATCTCTAATACAAGAGAGTCCTATTATTGTATGCTTGACTCATCTGTATTACATAGGCAATCAACAATTTGATCAGTTTTGTATGTCCAAACATAATATTAATCATATCATATCGACACTCCTTCAAAGTTTAATTTGAATGAACAATTTAATCAATAAGCTATTATTGGCACTAAAAAATCATTATGCACTCCACATTTATAAAAACACAACGAAAATTTTAGAAGTGCATCATGATAGTTTTAGAGCGCCAATAGCAACAACCTTTAATCATACTTAGAATTATAGTTTCTTGTTATCTAGTCTAAACCAAAGTCGAATACTAGTTCAAATTAATCAATGGTTGAGACTGAATACAACAAAATTGTATGCGGAACTCATCTTTATTAGAAATTATCAATTATTGCAATTTGTCCCCTAAATAACACTATTATATGGACACTTTTCCAATGATAATTTGAATGATACTTGAATTTTGGCTCCATGTTGATTAGACTTGTGGGCTCTTGAAACTTTAAAGATGATGGATCTTATGAAGGACTTAAATGAAAAATGATCTTTGGAGTTGGAGATGGCACAAAGCACAACTATCCCATGAGTACTAGATTATAGCATTGATCAAAGGCACATGAAAGAGCCTGGCAAGACCACTTCATAGTGCCCCATTATTCAATCCAATATGGTCTCATGGATGACATTTGGTCTCCAACAACAAATCTTGAGTTGGAAATAAATTTTAATGTGAGTGCAAAATTAAAAGCCATTTAGTTTTGCTAACTCATGTGTTATATAAGTGTACGACATGAGAAAATTTCAACATATCAGCTTGACCACATCATTCGTACAGCATAAGTTAAACTCAATTAATCAGCTTGACCAAATCATTCGTAAAGCATAAGTTAAACTCAATTAATCAGCTTGACCAGATCATCCGTAAAGCTTAGGTAAAACTCAATTGCAAGATATAAGCTTGTGAGAGGTGGTATACGAACAGAGAGATTCTAAAAAAAAGTCGGTTTGTTAATTACTGATGTGATGAGGTTGACCTACTTTTGTACGAAAGTTTTAATATATTACACATTTTTTTTTTTTAACACTACGTGACAAAACTAATCGATAACTAGTTAAAAACATTAGGGCAAAATTTTACACAACTCGATCCATCAATGAATTATCAAAGTTCAGTCATCATCACATCATCTACAGCAAAGCGAAATCTGGATAACAAAGCACAATCCACCCCTCCACCCAATCACCACATCCCACGTGTCATAAAGCAAATGCGTCAGCATCATCATCCATACGGGACTGATGATCAATATGGCCTTTTCCCAATGAGTCAAAATCTGAGCTCTTCCTCTGCTGCCTCTGCCTCTCCCCAAAATATACTTTCCAATTTCTTTTTCTAACCTTTTCGCGATTAATTTAATCGATTTATCAGTGAACAGAGAAAGCAAGAGAGTTGAGAGAGAGAAGGCAAGAGAAGAGAGAGAGAGAGAGAGAGAGAGAGAGAGAGAGGGAGGGAGATGTGCAACAAGAAGAGTCCTTCTGGTCACGACGATCATGTGCAGAGGAGCTCAATGATTGATGATATGATCAAGAAAGAAGAAGACGATGAAGAAGAAGACGAACTGATTAAAAATTTAGCAGCTCGGAAATTCAGAACAAAAACCAGAAAACCCAAGTTTTTAAGTCTCCGATCCCAACTCATCTCCGAAGATAACGGACAAAGTTACAGAGCACCCAACAAAGTTACATCAACGAAGGCCAAGACCCACCACCGCCAACGCCGCCGCCGCCGCCCCCAGCTCAACCTTTTTCCGCTGCACCCGGAAAATCGGGTCGAGAATGATTTTGAAGATAAAGGGTACATGCAACAGGACGAGAACGTGGCCTTGCTGTTCGAGTCTGACGGCAGCGCCACTCTCAACGGCCTCCTAACCTCCACCGCCACCACGTCGACAATGTCATCCGATCTGGAGGAAGCAGAGTCCTTTTCCTACTACAGGGGACGGGATGAGTATAGAGAAGAAACAGAGTGTGACATTGTGCGGACGGCGATGAGGAGCAGAGAGAGGGAGACAAGCGTGGAGAAGTGGGTGTGTTTCTCGGAGTTGGTGGAGGAGAAGAGAGAGAAGGACTGCTTGGCTAGCTCGACGACAAGTACTACCGGTACACGAGGCGGAGGTGATGGTCGGGATGTTGGTCATCGACGGTGGAGCTGCGGCGGAAAGGGGCTGTCGTTGGCGTTGAAGCTGGATTATGAGGAGATATTGAATGCTTGGTCCGATAAGGGACCACTGTACATTGATGGAGGAGATTCCCCACAAACTGTACCTGACTTGATGCATCAGCAGGATCATCAGCTTTTTCAGCTCAATGATAACAGCAGTACTCCCGATGTAAGAATTTTTTTGACTTCTTGCCCTTTTTCGTTGATCGGTGCATTCACTTTGTTGAACTTTATGTGTAATTTCACCTTCAAATTAATTCCATTGATTATGTTTGTGAAATATAAATTGTGATTGACTATAGTTTAATAATGCAAATGTCATAATCATAACGGTTTATTTTTTTTTGGACATGGATCCTATTCGGAACCATGGATCATAATCCTGAGAATCCATCAATTCGGATTATTGAAATTTAATCGAACAGCTAAAGTTATTATAACTTTTAAAGTGTATCACTGTTCATAACCGTTTGATCAAATTTCAATAACTCGGATTGATAGATCCTTAGGATTAAAATGCATGGATCCGAAACGATCCATATCCTATTTTTTTAATCATCAATTAAAAATTGTATATGTGAAATCAATGTTGTCGGTCTCATCTACAACATTATATTTGAATGTTACCATTTGCATTTTGTGCGAATATCTCCCGATCAGGAATTGGTCACGGGAGAAAAATGTATTCATTTGACACTTTTTGTATTTGGATGTTCTTAGTAATGAAACACTCAGTTACTTCTGTTAAAAATAAACATTATATTGTCTTGGTAAGGAATTAAATATTTTTTTGATCAAATTACAAATTAATTAAAGGCCTAACTGTATTAATAGTTCCCATTGTGGTAGTATAGTTGAAAAATAGCCCATATGGTAAAACACAATTCGGATTTATACCCCTGTGGTGATGTCCGTTAGCATTTTGGTTCAAAATTTAAAGTTTTGTTAACTCACTGTTAATTATTAGCACGTGAGCCATACATGTGAGAGTAAAATGTAACTCTCGGTTAATTGTTAGCACGTGAGGCTCACATGTGATGCTAACTTATCTTTTTAGTTACACATGTGAGACTAACTTACTAATAATTACCAAAACCTAACAGACTTTGCCACAGTATCCTAATTGTTTTTACAATATGGGCTATCTTTCGACTAGTCTAACACTACGGCACTGATAATCCAATTAAGCCTTAATTAAATATTGAGGTTCCATCTGTTGGGGTGTAGCCTGAAATGCATGGGACTTGTTCAGGGGTCAGGTGGGAACTTAAGGAGAGTCCCGGAAGAGGACGGCAGCTTAAAAATGAAGATGGAGCAAAGACTGGCCAGTGTGTTGAGATACAAGGAAAAGAGGCTTAACCGGCTCTACTCCAAGCGGATCCGATACCAAGTGCGAAAGCTCAATGCCGAACAACGACCCCGTATGAAGGTACTCTTAATCTCTCATCACAACCAAGTGTGTTATATATGTTCTGTAATTAATTCAGATGACTAATTTCGTATTAATCGTTCCATATATCTATGTTGCAGGGTCGATTCGTGAAGAGAAATTGAATTAACGCGCGTTTTGAACGTCTGGTTTCGATCTGACCTGCATAACTTACCAAGAGGATGGAGATAGGCATGGTTTTTGGTGTTTTGAGTTAGATATCCAGTGCATGCGGATGTTTTCGTTTCCCTATTCTTTCCTGCTTTGCTTGTCACTCACGTTACTGGGAAGAGGGAATGATAAGTCGTATGCTTCTTGCGTAAAAATATATGCACAAATCACATACACAAAAAGATGATATATATGAGAATCAATCAGACGTTATTTAACGTGTAAATATTGCTGTTTAATGTAGCTATGTTTGTGAGATGGATAATTTCTCAAATATTCCGTGAACCATGACTACGAGCTCCTTCTTAGCAGGAATTTCGTTGTACTGAAGAAACGATGAGATGATATGGCTCCCGCAAGGGCCATGTATTTACCGTAACCTTCGTGTTCTGAAGCAAAAAAGGGGCGAAATAGTGAACTTCATAACATGGGTTCCTTACCTTAATTGGTGTGGATATTTATAAGAATAAGATGACCAATATATAGTAGTGTAGAATTTTATCAGCTGGAACTGGAAGTGGAAGATCATAAGTTGACAGAAGAAAAGAGTGCACAAAAACTGCGCAACCCGAGCGTTTTCTTGAGTATGTTCATTTGTACTCTCTATCGTCTGTCAACAACAAGAAGATCCTCGATCGTTTAATTTGGAGCTAGCTCGCTCAAATAATTTATATATTCAAGAGGTTGCTGGGCATGTTCCATATACCCTTCCCCCTCCTCTCCTGTTTTTCGGGTTCAATTTGTAACGTTTGATTTAGAGATGAATGGTTTTGATTTAGGATATATATATCTTTGGAGGAAACATGGTGAGGCTGCTATATTGGCACCAGAAAATAGTACTCCTGCAACCCTCTATGTATGTTCCTATGTTTTGAAACAAGTTCGTCATTCACTCACCTAGCAAAATGCATCTCCAATAGTTCAACAATGCCTTTTCCCCACTACTTTGGATCAATCAAGTGCAACTACCAACTACAGCCTTTTAAAGTCACCCCAAACATGGATTCCGTCAAGTGGCTCCTGTAGTATGTTCGTTCCCTTCTTTTAAGTTTGAAATCTTCTACAAACTAAAATAATTTAGAATACTGTCTAATGGTCATATAGTATATGGTTAGTGATATTCATTTTCATTTGTAAGAAGAAAATCTTAGGTTCGAATCTCATGGATCGTGAATTGAAAACCAATTTATTTCTTAGGTCTTACAGTAATTATATCTTTGTATCAAAGAAAAGAGAAAAAATAAAAATAAAAAAGGATGATCGTCTTGTAAAACAAATGTCATCCCCAAAATGTGGGCTTTATCTCCTTTTTCAGCCCAATGATATCGTTAGAGCCCAACATTTAGAAAGTGACGTTCATGCATGTTCTAGTAGCCGATAGAATGTTCAAGTAATTCACCTACTGATCGAACATCGTAGAACATGTTATCTTTAATAAAAATCCGAAGATAACTATATACTAGTAATTAGAAGGTTCAAGACGCATACATCGAACTCCATAACTCCATATATAAATCTCTCCTGCAACCAAATTAATCAGCAACACCAGCAAACTAATCTCTTCCTAATCATCGATCTTAGCCTTTGCTAATCATACAAAATGTCACTCATTTCCCAAGTGTTTGGCGATGAAATATTCGACCCATTTCTCTCCTTGATCAACAAGTGTCCTGTCCTCAACACCCCAACCGACTGGAAGGAAACCCTAGACGCCCATGTGTTTGTTTTCGACCTTCCGGGGCTGAAGAAGGAGGAGGTCAAGGTGGAGGTTACTGATGGAAGAGTGCTCCAGATAAGTGGCGAGAGGAATGAAGAAGAAAAAGATGAGAAGAGTAAGGATCGTAAAGATAGGTTTCACCGTGTCGAACGTTTCCGGGGCAAGTTCCTAAGGAGGTTCCGGCTGCCGGAAAATGCCAAGACAGATGAAGTTAAGGCATCTATGGAGAATGGGGTTCTAAAGGTCACTATTCCCAAGCATGAAGTTCAAAAACCTCCAAAGAAGGTTATTCAGATTGAAGGAAATTAATTAAACGAGAGTTTCACAAATAATCATGTGATAATGTGTGATAATAAAATGTATCATGTGTGGTAAGCGTGATTTTCTTGTTTTCGGTTGAACTTAAATTCAGAGAGAGAAGCCTTACTGTTTTAACAAACTTAGCTACGTCTAAGTCTGCATATCATGTGTGGTTTTTAATAAAATGTGATAGTTTGTGCATGTTTAATTGTTGTTTTTATATCGAATATATATCAAACCTTGGAATCAATTATTTAGGGTATATGTTTCTGGTTGAATTAAAGCGTTGGGACATGGATGGAGCAAACCATAAGGGATTTGTCTAAACAATAATCCCGTCTAAAAGAAAGTAAACAAAAGGTTTAAAATTCAATTACAAGATTTGAACAAGCTTGGTTTAGAAAATTGTGCTGTTGCTGCCGGCCACTTGCCAAAAGCCAAAAGCTTTATGAAGTTGTTTCTCTATGCAGTTGTGGCACAAACAGAATGTCTTTCAAGAATTCGGCCTAACGACCGTCACAGTGGCATGGGACCAGTTAGTTGTCCTGCATTTTGCTAATTGAACTTTAAGTACTTTGTACTCGTGCGCTCACTTATTTGATCTGTAATTAAACTCCATTTAATTATGTACTTAAGCATCTGCATGTGGTGTAATATTTTAATGAATAAGGGATTGGTTTTTATCCGAGTCCAAAATTCCTTTATTTTTTAAATTATTATAATAATTTCAAACACTTGAAAGATTTGAAAGAAAAATACTTAAATACCATGCTTTTGAGACATTAAACGGAGCTAGCTTTTAGCTCAACCAGTAGATAGATAGGATGTCAGCTTTTACTTTTAAGTAATGCTAAGTAGAATAAATTGTCAAACTAAATTATATATACTAAATAAAAATTAAGCACATTAATCAACATTTAAGTATAATTCAATTGTCAACTTTCATATTATTAGTTTACAAAATTTAATATTTCTAGCGTTATCTTTTACTTTTTAGTTGTTACAATTAAATATCTCAATTTGTGAAGGTAGATTTGCGATAAAAAAACGATACCGACACTTTGGCATTCCAAACTCATATGGGGTTTAATTTTATTGCATAGTAACACATGATAGGTTGAGACGCTAAGAGGATATTCTAGTTTTATGCAAATCCTTTCTTAATTGCTTTACAATTAATAAGTTTAACAAATGAACCACGTCATCCATCCAGCTTCTCACAAAGCATAATTCTTCCAATATTGAGGTTATACAGGTAACATGATCAATTTATCGGACCTAAGAATTTCTCTACTTTTAGAGAGAAATGTTAAGGAGATTCTTAAAAGTGGGACTTTCTGCACCTCATCTTTTTGGCACGGTATTTTATAATATTGATACTAAAATTAACTTTTAAATTGTGAGATGATAGATAATTTGTACATATTCATTTTTAGAGAATCTGCTTAGTATTTCTCACTTTTAGAAGCATATTTTAGCTTAGCTTTAGCTTTTGTGCCGGCGTGCACGCGTGGGTGAATATACAACGCAATTGAAAGTTGAAACATAGAAGGCATCACAATTTTGAAACCTTTGATCGTCCCTTGGCAAAACCAAATGGACCAATATTCTACATTTTTACAATGAGGAAAAGAAAGAAAATGGAATCAACATATCTTTTTTTTTTTTTTTTTATAACATAGCTGAGTTTATGCCCTCAGTCACTACAAAGCTTACAAAGACATGCATCAGCATTCAACAACTTACAATTTTTAGTTGCAGAAAGCCCCAACCGACACAAAATGATAAATGAAATTAAAGTCCCTAGATAATCTAGCTAGCCAAGTCATCATATGGAGAAAAACTTCAGAAGGATCATCGATTACGTCAATCATAAGATACTTCTTACAAAAACATTACATTTTGGTCCCATTAATTAAGTGTGCAGCTGCCCTCTTTGTCATTTTTCTCCATGAGAGGAAAGCATAGTAAACTTTTTTGGTTAGTAATGAACAGAGATTAATTAAAGATAATCTCATGATTCTCAATTTCTCAAACACGAATCGAACGACAAGTCGTAGGAGTTCCAGTTCCATGAAGAAGCTTCATTTCCTTGATAGCTGGATCTTGGAGTAGAAGCACTTTCTCCTTGTCCCTAACTCCAACCATGTGTAAATATTCCCCATCCTCTCTTTGTTTTCCTTGTAAAGAAGTCTTTGCTCTCTTGCCTCCATACCATTCACCAGTGACAATATCATCTTTAATTCGCCTGCAGAGAACAAATGAATCAAAGCCAATTAGGACTTGATTATTTGCATTTATGGCTCATATATAGAGAAAAGAACAGTCCTAGTGATGACATTGTAACTGCATTTCAAGTTAATCACGCATTGTTATGTGAGAATTTAAAACATATGATAGTACGTGATTCATTATGACTACCACTACAGACTACAGTGATCTCCCGTTTAGGTAAGTTTCGCTAAAGAATGTGAAAGAAGGCTTAATTACCAAATGTGGAAGTGGCTTCAATGGAGATATCATGGAAATGAGACACAGTTGACACTCGAACCGTGATCATGCCTTCTCCGGCACTGCTTTCGGCCGCCGTCTCCCTTGTCTGAACAAGCATGCCTCCCGGTCGACGCTCCCATTTGATTTCACCATTGCTAATAGTATTGCCTCCTCCAAACTCCTTTTGATCAGCAGCTTTACTCTTGCTTTTACAATTGCTGCTGCTGATGAGCTTGCAACTGCTAAAGCTTCTGCAAAACCTGTTTGACCTTAGCTTAATCATCTTTTTCCCTGATTTTTCTACAAGCACTTCTGTTGTGCTTTTTCTCTCAACTACTCAAACTGCTCAGGAGAAATGAGAGGAAATGGGGAGTTGAGAGTGTTGGAGTTGGCTGCTTAATATATATAAGTAATAAGGCAAATGTGCATTATATTAACTAGGGCAAAATATAATAACGACATCAATAAAATACAAGCCGCCCGAATAGTGTTGCAAAAAGTAAGACTGGGCGGCCAATGAGAGGGTGCCACAAGGGGGGACAATGTGGGCATGGCTTCTCTTTGCTTATTTTATGGAAGGCCAAGTGCACATGGGGGTGGGTGCTTAGGAACACGGTTGCTTAATTGGCGGGCCAAATACAAAATCAATTGCTCCATTAATTTGTCTTTCAAGAAATATATATGATCCTTTGATAGTTTAGAAATAATTTTGTGGTATTTTTCGAGAATCTAGACGGTGTGAGGGAGAATTTATGGTAAAATAATTGACCAAAAATATTGGAGTTATAGAAATCTGATCATGATTTATAAAAGTGTCACCAATTGTGGTATGAGTATATGAGACCTCATTTTTATAAATAATGGCTTGTTTAACCTTGTTCTTAGAAGAGTTCTACATATTCAACTTTTGTACAAAAGCGCTTAAAAGCAGAAAAACTTCTTGCGTAAGCACTTTTAGACGGGTCCTGGCTAATTAAGTTTATGATTTATTCAGAATTCTATATGATCTAGATTAAGAATTAGCATCCGATATACGGTTTGGCACGTTAAAAGAAAAAATAGATATCAAATTAATGTGGCATATGGAATATATGTTCGATTAAATTAATTATGTGTAAAGCTAGCTTCTTTGTCTTCATCCTTAATTTGTGATTTTGTTTGGTTTTTATGTTTAGATCAGTTAGGTTAGGTTGGTGCTTAAGCTTTCTTTTGGGTTTACATTTTCTTATGGGTGGTTGGCTAATCTCTCTAGGGCATCAAATCACATGGGAGAGAGCTTAAACAATACGTATATTCTCTCCTTTCCTCTTCTTTCCACCATGTTTAGATGTGTTGAACTTAGAAACCTTCATCATTCAGAATATACTGCTCAAAAGTGACGGATTCAGGATTTAAACTTTATGGGGCCGTAGAGTTAAAGTACAAGTTTTTTATTTTTTATTTTTATAACAAAGCATGAAGCGTGCAAAGAAATTCAATTTATTTACTAATTTTGTCAAACATTTGGTGGATTTGTTATCGTTAGCCAAACCATGTTCCGCACATGCTAACAAATATCGACTTATGCGGAAGCAATTGATGAGCGATATCCAGAGAATTTTTCGACGCAACCTGTCAAGATATGACTAGCAAATATTACATGAAACACTTGGTAGACACAAAAGGGACCTACCAAACATTCAAATGATCCTCGAAAGACCTTTACATGTATATTTTTCAGACTCCGGATGGTCTTGTGACCACCTTGGTCCTAATGTACATTCGCCCTGCTGCTAAACCTAAATTTTTTTAATCTTACTAAATTAACGGATAAGTAGCCCTAACAAAACGAAGATTTGCTAATCAATCATCGATAACTTACTTCGTTAGCGTGTGAGCCAACTGTTAGCTGCAGTGGTTATGGAGTTGCTAATTAAGCTTATTGTTTTTGTAATTTTCTAATCAACTTTGATAATCATTATTAAGTTTTGTGAGCATTCACGAAAGTGACAAATTGGTGTCCATACTAGCACATGGTGGACGTCGGATAAGAGAAATAAATTTGCATGCATAAGGTTTGACACCCCACATGTTGATCGTGGAAGAAGAAATATATTACATGGAACTCATAGGTACTTTAGATAACCATCAAATCATGCAAATATATACCATGAATTTGTAGCATCCTCGTATGGGCTAAAAGGCACCGTTTCAAGTGACCATTTGGTCATGACTTGTATCTTTGCCTTTTCAAATGTCTATTAATTATCAGAAGTCAAACCTCACATAGTTTTACGGCAATCAGTTCACTCTCATATTACAACACGAGTTATGTTTAAACATGTGAATTAGTATTTAGTAACGTCATGCGATAATCATCACTCGTTAAATTTTCACATAGTACAATCTGATGTATTCTTCTTTTTGGTATATGATTTGTTCACTAATCACAATGATTTTTTCTTTTAATTGAGTGATATTTTTAATCTAATATATATAACGAAAATGGAGATTAAAACTTACGTGAAAAAGAAGATAATACTATTTCAGCCAACTTTTATTGCACTCAGATGTGCAATTTACAATAATATTAAGTTAATTGATACTATTATATGATCGATTTAACAAACAATCATATATTCCTTAAAAGTACACATTTAAATGATAAAGATTTTGAGAGTTTATATACCCTTATTTATGTATGTATATGTGTAAATATATATATAGAGAGAGAGAGAGAGAGAGAGAGCTGTGAAATCGAGCAAGCTATATATGCATGCTCATGCAAAATACAAAAAGTGATGTGTAGCACAAGATTGATTCTTTCACGCACCCCATCAGATTCTCTTCTTGTTTGGCATGCCGATGGTAAGATATAGCTAAGAGATTTTATGCGCATCGATCAAGGTGATTTAATTCCAATTATCACATATTATTGTTAACTCATTATGATATTAAATTTAATTATTATTTTTAATGTAAATAATTTCATTTGTTAAAAATAATAATAAAAATCCAATTAGCACACAATTATAGATCAGTTTCTTCCCAGCTTCCTTGCATGGCAATTGGCATGGGTTGCTTGCTATTTAATATTATTTATTTTTCCAAACATTATCATACAATCACTGACACCACCCCTTCTTCATGTTCTTGCATTATTAACATATTTTAACAGTAAAAAAAAAAGGTGTCCTTGTTTTGTTAGGACCATATGCACATTATTAATCCATATTTTATTTTGCTTCCCACGAATAATAACCTCAACTAGTCTTATTTTTTTAATCATTACCGGATGGTCCAGTAGTTAAGATGAATTATAGACCCACATTTCACACTATCTATTCCATATTTAATTTTTAAAGATGATGTATCACACGATAGTGGCCAAAAGGAGGTTGAAATGTCTTTAAATCTTTTGACTCCTAAAAAAGTAAACTACCATAAAGGAAGCCACCGATTGATCATTTTTTTAAAGCGAAAAAAAATCTAGTTTTTATTTTTCTTGGTAATCTAGAACCTCAAAGAAACCGGACGAGGTGGTCCCCTTTATATCAGATCAAAAGTATTAAAATAAAATTTTGGGAAGAATATAATTGAAAAGTATATAAAAGAATAGAAGAGAAAAGAAACCATAAGAAAATTGGCATATGGGTTAGGTCTAAAGTTCATGTATATCGTTTATGAAATGATCAATGCACCAACATTTTTGCAGATATTTAACTCTTTGGATAGTTCCTCCTCAAAATACATTGTGGTTGATTTACGGAAATTCGCTTATTATTGAGCCATTCATATTATAAATCATTTGGTAAATACTATTTTTACAAAAAATCAATTTAAAATAAGGTCACTTAGTTAATTAATTATAGCAAATAGATTGACCGTTTGTAATTTTTTTTACCGAATCCGTTTATCTGTTTAATATAGTTTGATATGACTAAACGATAATGATTTTTACAGAGATAATATATACCAAGTATTTTCTAATAGGCCCAATATCATAGAAAGATTAGGCCCAATTTCAAATATAAACATATTGGGCCACTTTCTGATAAACATTAGGCCCAATAAATAATATTCCCCAACCTTTTTTCTGTTTTTTTTTTTTTTTGACTGATTTTTCTAGCTCACCACTGATTGCATTTCTATTGAATGGCTGTGAGAAAACCACAGCACCACTGCGAAATGAAATCAAACCCACTTCAGAAATTCACTGGCTTTTAATAAGCACTTCCACTAGAAGCTCCAAAAGCATACAAATTTATCTGGCTCTACTTTTCAATCTGGAGTTCAGGTATGTCCCCATCTCTTGCAGTAGCTGGGAATTCTGTAAAAATGCAAAATTTGCTGAAAATTATATAATTTCAGAGGAATTTCAATCCTGGGTTGTTATAGTTTCTTGTGAATATCTGGAAAAATGCAAGCTTTAATCACTTGGGATGTACCCCAGGTGGGATTTGAATTTGGTCCTTCTTGTAAATTTAGAACTAGGAGTAGGAGAAAAAATATTGTTGTTGGTTTTCCTGTTTGTAATGGAGGAAATGCTGATGTTTTACTTGGGAGTGAGGGCTTCAATGGAGGCCGAAAATTTGGTTTCGGATGTGGTTGCTTCTCTGGGCACTCTAGACCTAAACTTGCTCGGTTTTGTGAGCCGAACAAGGGTTCATTTGGCGGTTCTTTTGTGGTAGCATGGGCATTGGAGGAGCAAGCAATTGGGAATGAGGTTGTTGTGGAGGAATCGACCTCGGAACATAGGTTTTCAGGTGAATGCGAGAGTGAGGGTGGTGTTGATCATCGAAATGTGGATGGAAGGAATGGCGGTGATGGTAATGATAGTGATGAAGTAGGGGTAGGCGGTCAAGGATGTGATTGGGAACAGAGAAATGAAAAGATTGACGTGCGTGCACTGGCGCTGAGCTTACAGTTTGCGAAAACAGCTGATGATGTTGAAGAGGTTCTTAAGGACAAGGGTGATTTGCCCCTTCAAGTATTCTCATCGATCATTAGGGGTTTCGGAAGAGACAGACTGATGGATTCTGCTTTTGCTACTGTCGAATGGCTTAAGAGGAAGAAGGAAGAAACTAATGGTTTTATTGCCCCAAACTTATTCATATATAACAGTCTTTTGGGTGCAGTGAAGCAATCTGGACAATTCGGAGAAATGGACAGAGTCTTGAATGATATGGCTAGGGAAGGGGTGGCGCCGAATGTTGTAACTTACAACACTAAAATGGCGATTTACATTGATCGAGGACTAAGTACGGAGGCCCTTCATGTTCTTGAGGAGATTCAAGAAAAAGGCATGACTCCATCTCCCGTATCGTATTCCACAGCATTGTTGGCTTATCAAAGAATGCAAGACGGGAATGGAGCTTTAAAGTTCTTTGTTGATTTTAGAGAAAAGTATCGTAA